CGTTTCTTATCTCCATTCCAGGGAGTAAAGATTATGTAGCTTAAGGGTGATTGTTTGTAGTTAAAGTGATTAACTACCCGCCTGGCACTTAGTTAAGGGGTTTCATTCCCTCCCTAACTTCAGGGGAAAATCCCTACCTGGGGAAACAACCTTTCTCAGAGAGGTGACCTTGGTTAAAACACATAGCGCCAGGAAGGTGAGCAAACATATTAAGAACAGTATGCCATATATGCCAGGTCCCTTAAAACAGCAAGGATGGACCGGCTCCTGGCAGGAAGACACTGCTCCTCTGAGCCGGGTGGACCCATGGGACCTCTAGCCTCATCCATTTCCAAGTCACCCTATCAGAGCCCAGATGCCTTGGCAGCTCCCCTGCCCGATCCTGTCCTAATTCATGCGCCTCCCAGCAGTGCCAGGCCAAGCCTCTCCCCAGGCTTCCTTCTACTCTGGGTGCCCCTGCAGCCCCTGCTCCACCTCAGCCTGAAGTCATGGATGTGACCCTGGTGCCACGGTGAAGGTCACTCGGATGCCTGGTCGAAACCCTGGAGGGCACCCCGGCTGTGGACCTGGTCTGCTTTTGTCCCTTAGGCGACTTCATCGCGTGAGGATGGGAAACCCAGTCCTTTTCCTCCTTTCTACTGCTTAACAGCCCTGTAACTTGTCGGCCCCTGGGAGCCTCTGCCTGTCCCACACTGCCACTGGGACGTCCTGACTCCCAGGGCACATCTGCCCAGGAGCCCCCAAAGGTGTCTACTCCATCCCACCCACCCCCATCTGGTCATGCCCTGGCCTCTTCCCCCCACACCCCAGGCTGTGCCCTCGGTGAGCACTGCCTCCCACCTCTCCATCCCAGGACCTGTCCCTTCCTGGGGATGAGGCCCCTGCGAGGCCCCCCTGAAAGGCCTTCCTTGACCAGCTGGAACTTCCTGGTCTTATCCAGGGGCAAAATATATTTTATTGATTTTTTACAGAGAGGAAAGGAGAGAGAAATAGAGAGTTAGAAACATCAACGAGAGAGAAACATCGATCAGCTGCCTCCCGCACATCCCCCACTGGGGAAGTGCGCGCAACCCAGGTACATGCCCTTGACCGGAATCGAACCCGGGACCCTTCAGTCCGCAGGCCGACGCTCCATCCACTGAGCCAAACCGGTTTCGGCCGATCTCACTTTTTTCTAAGTCTTTGAGACTAAGGCTTCAGGATGGAATCCCTCAGGCCCCTTTTGGATAACAAGAGAATATTAACAAGAGGCCGGGTCGGGCTCCACGACAGAGAGGGAGGACAGAGAGTCAGTTCAGGAGGACACAGGAGCACTGGGTCACGGTGAGAAAACCCGACTGAGTCCCTCGGTTAGGTTTCTAGAACTCCTCCTAGCATAGCCACAGCCCTTGGCAACACACAGGGGGACTGTCTATGGAGGAAACCCTGGTGGCACCAACAGCCCCTCCCCCGCATCCTCCCACGACCAGGTCACGTCCCCCTGGTCCTCCTTTCCTTCTGGAGACGTGCACTGAGCCACGCGGAGGAGGCGTGTGGGGAGGAGGAGGTGAGGCTACAGGAAACAGAATCCAGCCACAAAATGAAAGGCCCAGCAGAACAGTCAGAAGGGCCAAAGGGGACAAGCTTTCATTTAGGCAGCATGTCTTCCCACCATGGCCTGACATGTATGGTTTTTTTTGTTTTAAATTTATTATTATTATTATCCTCACCTGAGGATGTGTTTTTATTGATATTAGAGAGAGGAAGGGAGGGAGGAAGACCGAGAGAGAGAGAGAGAGAGAGAGAGAGAGAGAGAGAGAGAGAGAGAGGAACCTCAATCACTTGCTTCCCACACGCGCCTGGATCTGGGTATGTGCCCTGACCAGGAATCAAACCCACGACCTTTCTGTGCACGGGAAGACGCTCCAACCAAGGGAGCCACACCAGCAGGGCTGACGTTTACACTTGCATGTTTTCACAGGACTAGTGAGAGGGTGCCTTTGCTATCCTCTGGGTGGGTCACTCCCCGCCCCACCGACATTCATGAGGGAGGAAACCTTCCCGTGGGGTCCCCTCCAGCTGCACAGCTTTCATGTGAAATCCCAGTGAAGAGGCGTCCGAGTCCTGGACGCCTGCAGCAGCGCTTTCCGAGGGCCCACAGAGCACACAGACAGACGTCTGTTTTCCTTTTGTTTTGTTTAAAGTCACTTCCCTCTTGAGAGAACAGTCTTTCCGGTGGTAGAAAGCCTGAGGTGCCGGGAGAAAACGGGTCAGGCTGCTTGTGAAATGGAGCAATGTGATCCCGGACTCCTCTGGATGAGACCCTGAGGTTAAAATGAAAGACAAGCCTCTGTGAGCAAGGGCCCCCTCCCAGGTGGGCTGTCAGCTGCTGCAGGGGCCTGGCCATGGGTGAGCCGGCAAAGGCGCCCCCCGCGCTCTCTCTGATGTCCTCCGGGTTAGGTCTTCCCAGAGCTCAGCCAGCATCGTCCTTCCTCTTGTGCACGTCACATGGCCTTTTCCATGATGATTCTGTCCACGCACCACTTCCCAGTCAGGGGTATCGAGAACTTCTCCAAGATTTGGGGTTCGTTGGCCTTGGTGCAGTGCTCCATGGTGAGCACTACTCTGGCCTTGATCCTGGACACCAAGTGCACTGCACCCCCCCATTCCCTTCACCTTCTTTCCGGCGTCATCCAGGTCGCCAGGCCACCGTATTTGGAAACCTGCATGGTCCTAGCTTGGTTAGGTGGGTGTGTCCCCCTTGGATCATAGCAAATGAGTCATCGCTGGAGAGAAAACAGCCCCTGGGAAGAATGATGGCGGTTTGCTTGCCAGCACTGATGGGATCTGTACCCACCTCCTCCTAATGCACATGGACCTATGCCTGGGACTCCATCTTCACTGTGAAGGTGGACAGTTATATTGGGACGGATGTAGTTGCGGCCAGAAGAGGGGTTCCTATGCCCACGTTGGCACCCTCAAATTCAAGATCTTCCCGTTTGATGATTTGAGCTGTTACATCATCCAAAGACCTAGCTTTTCCACCTTTCTTTTTCTTGATTGTTAACCA